TGAAATTAAATTAAAACACAACATATAAAAACAAAATAAAACTGCACAGCCTACTGGACTCTGTGTCATTGGTCAGCCAACAGTTAAACATTGAAAAAAAAAAAAAAAGATTTGTTTGGTCCCATCCTACCCTTCCCTTGTTAAGAACATAGTGAAGTATTAATGTGATCACAATATCTTTATTAATGCCTACTGTGATTGTATTCACTATTTAAGCAGATAGATTTATTACCATCTCATATTGAACCAATTGCCAACCAAAAACCATTTTGCTTTTTCATAAACTATTGTTTTGTAGGTCTTCCATTCTATTTTTGCACAATTGATTACTGACCCTAAATGCAATGCTTTGCATTTACTGGCACATTCTGTGTTATTGATTTGAGACCATCTTCCAGCTTATGGCATTTATTTTAAATCTTGAGCCCATCATCAATCACAGCACTTATGCCTCTTAGCTTGGTGCCATCCACACATACTATCCGCAGCACGCGCCCGCAACTAGGATTCAGATACCTAGAGGAAATTTGGAGAGCGCTAGGGGCAAAGAGTGTTTACCAGCTGCCACACCACCGGCCACGTGTAAAAGCGACATATTGTTTGGCACTAGGACAGGGATACGTGGGGAACAACGTGAGGGTGGGATTGTGAGAGGAGTAACTGTTGGAATTCCAGGTTGAGGCAGGCTTAAGTCAGAATCTCCGGTTTAAGCAACCCAGGGAAGTTGCTTCTAGGAAGTTGCATTTTAGAAGTAAAAGGAGGGAAAACAGCTTGACAAATTTTGAGGCAGGCGTGGAGGCGGAAAGGGCATGTTGTTCAGTTTAGAAGCAAAACTGGGGGCGAGAAAAGGATGACCAGACGATATAGCCTGTTCGAATTCGCTGAGAGCAGATATTATTAATAAATTCTCTTAGAATCATGGACCACTTGGAATATCCTTCCCCTCCAGCTCTCAGGAATAAATCTTACTTTGGTGTTTTAAGCTGTTTCTCCTCCTTTAGCCGTTCCCCAGGTTTTCACTCGAATCCTGCATCAGTCTCCTTTGTACCTTTCCTCTCAAATCTGTCTCTGTCGTAAAATCAATTCCAATTCGCTTACATCTCCAGTTATGGGTACATTTTCCATCTGCTCCAAACACGCACGCCCTTGGACTGCACCGTGCCCCTCTCCTCCTGCCTCCCCCGCTGCCTTCGCGTTATCTTCCTAAGCTGCGCGGGACACAGATGTTTTCACCCTGTTGCTCCAGCACAAGGGTATTTTCCCAGTGTCTCTCTGTGTGTACGCTCCAGGCACCGTCTCTCTGGGGAGGGAGAGAGTAAATGTTTTCATTCCAAACCCTCAGGGTCAGGTCTTGTTTGTCTAAACTGTGTTTGTTGCCGTAATTATCAGATTAGCTGATCTCTGACAGCAATTTGGGGGGCAAAGGAGGGGGGAATATTAACCCTCTGTAGGATGGTTGCTGTGCTTTGTCATCGGAATATCTCTGGGAGGAGCTGTCATTTGTCTTCTAACCTGGAAGATTTGGCCAGAATTCTTTTCGCCAACCCTAACAGGCCTCCATCATAGTCTGTTCTAAATAAATCCAATCATCTAATGGTCTCTGCTGCTGGGATCCGACAGGCATTTAGCAGAGATGAGGGTTGAAAGGGCATCTCTCCAGGGATCTGCTGGGAAAAGAAAGAAATGGAGCTTAAGGAGGATCTGGATAAGTAACTTTACAAAGCATATCGGTGTCTCTGAAAACGAGTAAGGAAGTCAGGAGGATGCACTGGATGTCTTCAGCTCATCCACCTATCCCCTCCCCCTTGGCATAAGCCCAGTGATGCTACCAGGCCCCATTTAGCTTTGTTTGGGGATTTTCTGTTGTTTCAGAGAATGTTAAGATAATTTTTCACTCCTGCTGTTTTAACAAAACCAAATGTCTCTCCTTGTGTAGACATTCACAAGTCTTTGCCATCAGACTCAAAGTGGCTGGTCCTTTCAAAATGTTCTCTTCTGCTCTTTCCTCCTACCCACAACACCTTTGAACTTCAGTCTGGTCTCCAAAGATACAATAAAGACAGCGATTGCTCTCACCTCTCCACTGTTATAGTAACAATTCCTTTGCATTTCAGTTATCTTTTTTACAAATGAGTAAGTCATGTCTCCTCAAATGGACTATAGGCTCATTGAGGACAAGAATTACCCTTAGGTCCCATGATTGGTTACCTGGCAGAGGACCCTAAATGCATAAATAGGAGGTGCTTAATAAATATTTGTTGTTGATAACATTTTCCCAAACTTCTTTTTCTATTTCTCACTTCTGTGCCTTTCTGGTTTTGTACTTGGTTTTCAGTTAGTTAATATGATTGTTTACAGATACTTTACTTCTGGAACAGTCCTCAATTCCTACTCATCGACTCAATTCCTCCTCTTCTCTCCAAACACACACACAGAGCATCTACGAAGTGTCTATAGACCTAGAACTTTGCAAACTTACTCTGCATGCAGCATCTTATTTGAAACCCACCATGGCTTATGAGATAAGTGCTGCCGCATGTAAGGAAGCAGAGACTCAAAGAGTTAAATAATATAAACAAGCTCCCCTAATTGTAAGTGGTAGAATGAAGATTGAGCTCCAGGTGTGTGTGTCTCTAAAACCCATGCAAATCCTACCTTTCTAGTTACTAAAGTAAAATTCAGACAATTAGGAAAAGTACACTTTTTGCCCAAAACCTAATAAAACTCAACTAATCTATCTTCAGTACTTTTTCCCAACCAATACAGCTATCATAATTTCTTTGTAAAATTAAAAGAAGATCAAACCCAATATACAAAGTCTGGACAATATACAGCAAGATGATTTTTATGCTGTTTTAGCATTAGTTTTAAATTGATTTGACTCATTTGCCCATGTCCTTGCTGTTTCTTTTTTAATTTTAATTTTTTAGCTATTTATTTATTTTTATTTCAGAATATTACGGGGGTACAAACATTTAGGTTACCTATATCGCCTTTGCCCCGCCCAAGTCAGAGTTACAAGTGTCTCCATCCCCATGCTGTTTCTAAAGCTGTCTCTGCTTGCAGGCAAATATGGTTTTTAAAATATTCCATGTAGCCCACACACTGACTCACCAAACCCCTATTGAAAAGCTGCTGTTGATTTAGAATATTCCCATGTTCTAAGAAGACAAAAGTCTTTCCTCTGTACTGATGTTGCCAGACCCGGTTCCAAATGTGAGCAGGGCACAGGCTCCTGGGAAGAAATGTTCAGAACCAGAACTGGGCAGGGAGTTTCCATATGGTGCTCCTGGACTGCCCCAGGAGCAGAACTCAGATGGATGTCCGTGGAAGCAAACAGCCAGGGAGCCAGCGCTCCTCTCCTCCCAGAGAGGTGTCCTGCTCAGCATGCGGCCAGCTAAAACACTACCCTTGTCCCAGTTCCACTTAGGGTTCCCCTTTCCCCAAGCCACACAGAAAGACCCAACAGGTCTTGAATATGTCAACTGAGTCACGTTAGTCAGTCCTGATAAGAAAGTCATTGGTTAAGGAGTTCAACAGTCCCCAATCCAGAAACCCCACCCCAGTGAATTTTTCTTGAAGTTAGGGTTTCTGAGGGGTAAGAACACTTGAAGCCAGGAGTTCAGGAACAGCCTGGACAGCACAGCACAGAGATGACATAAGTGCCTAAAAGGAAATTTAAAGAAAGGCTTATTTTTAAAGATTAAAAAAAAATAGGAAAAAATAGAAAGGTGATTTTTGGTACCTTGTGGCATAGTATTACCCACATGTAGAGCAAAATGAGACAGATTCTTACAAAAAAATAATTTCAGGTTTCTAAATACCTTTCTTGATCCTGGCTGTCAGCTTGTTCTTGTTCAGATGTTTGAAGTGCTCCGTACGTTTCCTGCCCAGAGGCCGGAGGATCTGACTACTACTAATAGCTGTGTGACTTTCAGTAAGGCACATATACTCTCTGAGACTTATCGGGAAAGTTGGGGATTGGACTAGTGACATCTAGATTCCTTCTTTTGTTGATGTTTCATCATATTCTGGGCCTTGATAGGGAAGCAAATAAGGAAAGTTGTTTCAAAAAATAACATTTTCTAGATATCATATATATGCAAAATGCTTAGAATAATGCCTAGCACATAGTAATGTTAGAAATGTTAGCTTCTATAGTAGTGTTGGTTATTATCGTCATTGGAATGGTGATGAGGCTGGATCCATGCACTACAAACACATTTTTACCACCACATCTATAACTTTAAAAAAGAAACAATCCAGTATTAATCCTGTATTCAGATAACTTTAAAGCTCTTTCTCTTGCAACGACCTAGATACAAAGGAAATGAGCTGTGGCTACTGAAAATTACGAATAAATATCATTCATGGAAGGAGAGCTTGCTAAGCAAATACCACCATGACTAAACATAGGAATGTTTACTCTGAAAATTCGACTTTATTATTTGGCCATGGAAAGGAATAGGCTGCCTTGGGAAGTACTGAGTGTCCCTTCCCTGGATTCAGGGATTCAGATGTCAGATGGCTGGATGGACTGCATGACTTTGAAGAACGTTTCTCCCAAAGTCTCTGACTCTAAAGCAAAGGCCACCCAGAATTATAAAGTGTCCCGATGCCTGTGGCAATCGAACAGCAGAGAATGGGCTGCAGCCAAAACATCTGGTCCTTTAAGAGGATAATATTAGCCCAGAACATCTTACACCTTAAATGGCAACCCTGTGTCCTCTAAACCTTTAGCTAAAAGGTGATTCATGGAGCACATTACTGAGCAATGCTCTGGTGCATTGCCTCTTTCCAATTCTGAGACCTAAGAATTGAAAGCACTGAAGGAAGGACAGAGCCATAAGGCAACAGCCAGAATTCCGGTTTCCAGTCCAAGGCTGAATCTCCAGTTTTTCCTCCCTATGAAAAGATGACATTATCTTGGGCTGAGAATAAAGAACTGAATATGAGTTGAAATTCATATGCCATCTTAAAGCAAGATGAATGACATGTAAGATGGAAAAGAAAATAAATAATAAAAAAAGAGTAGAAGGGCAAAACGGCAGATGATAGAGAGTTGGAGAAGCAGAGGGAGACAAAATAAGAAAATGAAGGGACTTTTCAAAAAAAGTTTATACTCCAAATGCAAGAGAGATGTAGAGAGGGACTTAACATGTAAAAATTGCAAAGAAAGAAAGCTGGGGCAAGTTCTCTTACATCAACCACCTAAGAGTCATGGCATAAGAAGCAACCACCTCTCCTCTTCGTCTCTGCCACCTGCTCAGCGGCTGTGAAGCAGCAACAATGTGTGAGCGTCTCTCCATCCACGTTGGCCGGGCTGGTGTCCAGACTGGTAATGCCTGCTGGGACCACAACTGCCTGGAACTTGGCATCCAACCCAATGGCCAGATGCCAAGTGATAAGACCACTGGGGGAAGAGATGACTCTTTCAACACCTTCTTTAGTGAGACAAGCACTGGCAAGCGTGTGCCCAGGGCAGTATTTGTAGACCTAGAGCCCACAGTCATTAATGAAATTCACATTGGCACCTACTGTCAGCTCTTCTCCCCTGAGCAGCTCATTATAGGCAAGTAAGATGCTGCCAATAACTATACCTGAGGGCACTATAACATTGGCAAGGAAATCACTGACCTAGTCTTGGACCAAATTCATAAACTGGCCAATCAGTGCACAGCTCTTCAGGGCTTCTTGATTTTCCACAGGGCTTTGGTTGGGGAACTGGTTCTGGGTTGACCTCTTGCTGATGGAGCTCCAATCTGTTGACTATGGTGAGCAGTACAAGCTGGAGTGGTCCATTTACCCAGCCCCCTAGGTTTCCACAGCGGTATTTGAGCCCTACAACTCCATCCTCACCACCCACACCACCATGGAGCACTCTGATTGTGCCTTCATGGTAGACAATGAGGCCATCTGTGAGAGCTGTCATAGAACCCTCGATACTGAGCGCCCAACCTATACTAACCTGAATAGGTTGATAGGTCAACTTGTGTCCTCTGTCATTGCTTCCCTCAGATTGATGGACCTAAATGTTGATCTGACAGAATTCTAGACCAACCTGGTGACCTATCCCTGCTTCTGCCTCCTTCTAGCCACATATGCCCCTGTGATCTCTGCTGAGAAAAGCCTACCGTGAACAGTTTTCTGTAGCAGAGATCGTCCATGCTTGCTTTGAGCCAGCCAACCAGATGGTGAAATGTGACCCTCGCCACGGTAAATACATGGCTTGCTGCCTGTTGTGCCACAGTGATGTGGTTCCCAAAGATGTCAATGCTGCCATTGCCACCGTCAAGACCAAGCATACCATCCAGTTTGTGCATTGGTGTCCCACTGGCTTCAAGGTTGACCTTAATTACCAGCCTCCCATTGTGGTACCTGGTGGAAACCTGGCCAAGGCACTGTGTGCACTGAGAGCTGTGTGCATGCTGAGCAACACCACAGCCATTGCTGAGGCCTGGGCTCGCCTGGACCACAAGTTTGACCTGACGTGTGCCAAGCGTGCCTTTCTTCACTAGTATATAGGTGAGGGAATGGAGGAAGGAGAGTAGTCTGAGGCCCGTGAGGACCTGGCTGCCCTTGAGAAGGATTATGAGGAGGTTGGTGTGGATTCTGTTGAAGGAGAGGGTGAGGAAGAAGGAGAATACTAGAGTTAAAATGTCACAAAGGCGCTGCTTTTCCTGGGAAGCGAATTATGTTTTAAAGATTGAAAAGTTGTGATCTGATCAGTTAATTTGTTTGTAGCAGTGTACGCTCTCATATGCAGTTACTGACCTATTCTTTAAAACATGCATGCTCTGTTACAGACCCACGCTGTCCATTTCTCTGATGGGTTTTGAATAAAGTATTCCCTGTCTTAAGAAAAAAAGCAAGATAGTGACATGCATCAAGTACTAAGAAAGGTATACAAAAGAGAGTATTTAGGATTAAAAAAAACAGAGGTCTATTATAATTTAAACAAGGTTATCTGATGAGAATATCCACAGGAGATGAAAGCTGTCCCTTTGCAAGAGATTCTCTGCCAGATAACTCAGTAGCCTATCTATTCCCCAGAGGTCTTGGCCCATCTGCATGAAAAGAAAGCAGTTAATAACCTTGTAATTAAAAGCAAGCTTCTGTTGAACCACCTTAAACCCTTTACACCTGCCTTTCCTTGGATGGTTCCTTCCTTCCTCCCTTCATGTCTCTCTGTTTCCTTCTTGACATCACTGTTATTTCTCTTATTGTTGCTATGGGCAGTTGGTCTGGAGAACCTTCAAGGTCCCTTCCAACTCTCTGAGTCAACAATTCTCTACTTCTGCTGTCATATTTCTTTCTTCTTTCTTTCTCTGCTGTCTCCTTCCCTGGGATCTGAGATTTAGGGAATAAAATAATGATATGTGACAGGCACAGGGATGACTCACATGACAGCTTAATTATATTGCTACAGCTCAGCTATCTCTTCGCTATTGGAGAAAACCTAGAAGAGTTGGTTCTGGGTCCACAGAGAGGTTGCTTGACATCAGGTGTTAGTCCCCATTGGAAGCGGAAGTGATATTTCAAAATAGCTGAGAGTTATTTTATTGACAACAACAGCGATGATGAACTAAGTAATTTAATGAGTACTTAAAGACAAAAGTCATAGAATCTACTCTTGAGGAGACCACAAACCAAATGTGGCAGCGCTAGGTTCTGTGTGTTCACAGTAACCATTGCTGCCCAGTGCTGAGCACCTGCTAGGTGTTGAGTACAATGCTAAGCATTGACACTCACCAAGTTATTTAATCCTCATAACAACTAAATGAGGCAGGTACTATTGTCATCCCCATTTTACAGACAGGGTAGTGGAAACCCAAAGATTAAATACTTCACCAAGATCACTCAGCCTGTAACAGATTGGGATTCAAATACTGTGTGCTTGGAGGGATGTTACTAGGATGCCTTGGCAAGTTCCCTTTCTGCATCACCCCAAATCTCTTAATATTTAATGACTCAAGATTGATTGCAAGAGAATTGAGGTCCCAAGATTCATCCCACTCCTATTTTAACACTACTTTTGAAGACTTGTGCTCAGGAGCTGCTCCTATAAGCCCTTTTTCACTGTGTCATCTGTGATCCAACCTGCTTTAACCTGTCTGTTTTCTTACCTGTTGGAACCTGCAGATGCCCACGCTGAGGGATTCTTGGCCCTGGGATCCTCCCTCTCTGTCCCGGTCTTCACCAATCTATCTACAACCCTGACTGCATCAAGCCTTCTCAGTAATTGTGATGTTAGCCCCAACCAACTGTAGATGTCCTTGACCTTCAGGATTCCTACCTGTGCTCTTGTCCCCTTCTTAAATAAAACGAACTGAGTCAAGGACAATAAATCATCTTCAAAGCCAAGAAGTCCTTTTCTCTGGAATCTTGTCCTCCGATCCTAGGCATGGTGTCTTCTTTTCAACTATCTCTGCCCATAGCATAGTCTGATAAAAAACCTTTACTTGGACTCTACACTTAGAATTTAAAATCATTAGTTTTGTGAGATTATGCAACGTATTCATGTAATCAGGATTTGAGGATTGAAGAGGAAAAAAACGTTTTCATGTCACAACGATACCGCTATTACAAATCATATTGTATTATCATTTTTTACTTAATCTAACAATAATTTTTAGCCCAGTTTAAAGATGACAATGATCTAAAAATAATAAAATATTAAAAATAATAATTCAGGCCGGGCGCTGTGGCTCACGCCTGTAATCCTAGCTCTTGGGAGGCCGAGGCGGGCGGATTGCTCAAGGTCAGGAGTTCAAAACCAGCCTGAGCAAGAGCGAGACCCTGTCTCTACTATAAATAGAAAGAAATCAATTGGCCAACTGATATATATATAAAAAATTAGCCGGGCATGGTGGCGCATGCCTGTAGTCCCAGCTACCCGGGAGGCTGAGGCAGGAGGATCACTCAAGCCCAGGAGTTTGAGGTTGCTGTGAGCTAGGCTGATGCCACGGCACTCACTCTAGCCTGGGCAACAAAGCGAGACTCTGTCTCAAAAAAAAAAAAAAAAAAAAATAATAATTCAGATTTTGTGATTTAGACCAACTTCCCCATTCCTTCAGTGGGCCCCACTTGCCTTCCCTACTCCCTCCAGGCACCTAAAATAATGGAATCTGTATGAATAGGGCCAGGTACCCAGTGATACTCAGTAAATATTAACTAATTGATTGTCTCAATTAATTAATCTATTAGCCTCTGGTATGAGTGCTTTTGCTGTCTCTCAAATTAAAATCATTTCCTCTCCTTTTACTAACATGGGAACTCATGCATTCAATTCAAATAGTTATTTCCTTAGGGCTGTGATGGCCTCCACAAACGCACAGTCTGGTAACAGTGCAAGACAGTATGAGAACAAGCACTCAGAGGAGGGCCACGGCAATGGGGAAATAGAAAGAACGTGGGCCTTGACCTAAGCAAACCTGGGTTCAAAGCCTGCCTCATCCGTAAAATTGGAGTATTGGCACTTGACTCACAGGGTCACTAATAACAGTGAACATTTTAGGGGGTGGTTGAGTGCCGTACATGCTAACCTCTTCAATCCCCTGATCCTCTACATGCAGGGGTGTGGGACTTGGAGGGACTGAACAGTTTGCCCAGCCGGAGGACTCCCAGTGGGTGGTGGGCAGTGGTGGAACTTGAGCACACTCTTAATTCCTCTTTACAATACCTTGTTTGTGGGAGTGGCCTTGAGGTTTAAACTCCTGTCAAGTGCTTCCCTCACTAAGTGTTCAATATGTCACTTTCCCCAAATCCTCAATAGGAGAGAAGGATGCCAAGTTCCAGGTACGGGAAATGGCCATAGACCTTTAACCCTGGAGAAATGTGGAGGCAACCTTCCGAGGGGCAGTGGTCCATCTGGTGACTGAGACCTACTGCTGGCCCAGGAAGGATGAAGGAATCGGGATCCTGCTTCCCCATGAGGGGATTTGGGGGTGCAGATGAGGAGCAGAACTGCAGCTAAGTCAAGCCCTAGGCACTCTGGAAGGACTGTAGTTAAATTGCGAAGAGGATCTCCCTCCATCAGTCCAGCCGGCTCTGGTGCTTCTGTCTTTTCTGGTTGCGGTTTGGTTTGGTTTCATCTTACTTTCCTAATAAATGCTCCTTGACTTGTGAAAAGCGCTATCCTTGTTTCTGCTGAACAAAGGGAAGAAGGGGGGTTGTCTCCACCCAGCTTGTCTCAAAGGGAAGATCAAAGTGTCCTTTGGGTTAGGTGTGGTGGTGGCAGCTGGAGACCTGGGGGAAGCGGGAGGAACTGGGCAGACGGAGAGGGGAGAAGGTGGGGGGCTGTCAGCCGTGATGACTCATCTCTCACTGCAGGCTGCCACCACCAGCTCTTCCCAGCAGGCTGCCTGCAGAAGGCAGTCAGCTCCAGGAGGTCAGATATGGGGATATCATAATGCCTTGGAATAGGAGGAAAAGACCGGGTGAAGGCAGTGTAGTATAGAAAGAAAGATGTTATCAAGCTTTGGAGCCAAGGATACAAGCTGTGAGCTTTGAACAAGTTATTTAAGCTCTCTGGTATCCCAGTGTATAGTGGTGATGATATACAGACCTCACAAGGAAGCTGTGACAATCACAAGAAATCATGTTCATAAAGGGCCTGGCAGAGTAGGTGACTGTTGAGCACCTGGCAAAGGATGTGACATTTGGGCTATAACCCCAGTGAGTGGTAGAATTTGGCTTTTGCTGTATTCCACCCAAAACTTGGCCAGGCTATTCTGACCCTCCCAAGAAGATATGTGATGATGGAACTCTAATAGGCACTAAAGATAGTCATTCTGGGAAAGAAAAAGGAACTGCAAAAGAATTCCATTATCAGGATGGGTAAAAACAGAAAGGAAGATTTTAAAAGAAAAATAACACAATAAATCTAGAAAATAATCTAGAGTCTCTCAATAAGAAGCCTAACCTTTAAAAAAATCTTGGTGCCTGGGATGGAAAAAAAATCATCTTGTTTGCTTACTGTCCAAATAAGATATTCAAAATAGCAATAGAAGAGAGCTTTAAGCCAGCATGGTGGGGCATGCCTGAAGTCCCAGCTACTCTGGAGGCTGAGGCAGGAGGATCTCTTAAGGCGGGGAGTTCTGGGCTACTGTAGTGTGATATGCCAATCAGTGTCCACACTAAGTTCTACATCAATATGGTGACCTCCCAAGGACAAGGGACCACCAGGTTGCCTAAGGAAGGGTGAACTGCCCCAGGTTGGAAATGGAGCAGGTCAAAACTCCCATGCTAGGCCGGGCGCAGTGGTTCAAGCCTTTAATCCTAGCACTCTGGGAGTCCGAGGTGGGCAGATCACTCAAGGTTAGGAGTTCGAAACCAGCGTGAGCAAGAGTGAGACCCCATCTCTACTATAAATAGAAAGAAATTAATTGGCCAACTAATATATATAGAAAAAATGAGCCGGACATGGTGGCGCATGCCTGTAGTCCCAGCTACTCGGGAGGCTGAGGCAGAAGGATTGCTTGAGCCCGGGAGTTTGAGGTTGCCATGAGCTAGGCTGATGCCATGGCACTCACTCTAGCCTGGGCAACAAAGAGAGATTCTGTCTCAAAAAAAAAAAAAACAAAAACAAAAAACCTCCCAGGCTGATCAGTAGTGGGATTACACCTGTGAATAGCCACCGCACTCCAGCCTGGATAACATAGCAAGACTCCATGTAAAAAATAATTTTTTTTTTAGATATGATGATAAAAGGCAAAAAAAGAAATCCCACACATGATTCCTAGTTTTTTTATTATGGTAAAATACACATAACATATTTGCCATTTTAACCATTTTTAAGAGTACAGTTCAGTGGCATTACGTATATTCACATTGCTATGCAACTGTCACCACCATCCAC